CGCTCCCGCCGGGGCCCCCCGCGTCCCTCCTCACCTCGCTCCGGAAAGGAGGCACCCAGCCAGACACCAGCCGCTCCGTACAAACTCCTTTATGTTACAAAGTTCGCACTCGCACCCGCCGCCTCCTCCCTGCGCGCAGCCCGGCTGGGTGCACATCCCTGCCGTGCACCCGGGGTGGGTGCGGGGTCTCGGCCGCCGCCGGGCCCAGCTCCCCCGGGAGGGCTCTCCCTCCGGCGGGTTACTTGGGGACCCGCCGGAGCTCGCTCATGAGCCAGAGTGCCATGCTGAGCAGCACCAGGGAGCCCGACTGGTGTGTGGCGGCCAGAGGCGTGGGGACGTACAGCAGCAGGGTGCTGACGCCCAGGCCCACCTGCCAAGAAGGGAGAAGGAGTAAGAGCAGCTGTGGACGCAGCGTCAATACACATCCCCACCACAAAGTATGATGAAAGGCCCACAGCCGCAGCTAGACTTCCCACCCTCAAATTCAGGCTGTGCATGCAGAATGGTGAGGCCCTGGGTCAAGGCAGCTCCGCCTCTCAGCTCCAGGCTCTTGGGGCCAGCACAGATCCAAGCTGGGGACAGCTCTTCTGTCTTGTCAACGTGCTACAAAGGACTAAAGGGAGAAAAAAAAAATAAAAGGGGAAAAAAAGACAAACCAAACCCGTACCTGCATGCAAGCCACAGCCAATAAGGAAGTCACTGCCATCCTGGTCCTGCGAGGGAGTGGGATCTTCCGCGAGAAGAGGTACAGAGCTGTGACAGCTGTGACTGAGGTGATCCCCTACAGAAGGGAAGGGAAACAACGACCCTTCAAGGAAAGTTCAAAGGAAATGGGTGCAGTGGCCTTTGGCCGCGCCTTCCAAGCAGGAGAAGAAACTCTGCCAGCAATACTTAACTGTAGAAATGTGTTAACGGCCGTGACCAAATCCCAGAGCTCCCATGCCCACCAGGTTAACAGCCCTGAAATTTAACTAAAGTCACAGAGAGCTCCATTTTTCTCCAAATTAATGCTTTACTTTCCAATAGCTTTTCCTCATTTCTTCAAGTCATTAGGGATTCTTTCTGCCCTTTCCCTGTCTGTCACCTTGACAACTAAAGGTGGAAGCTGTAATCTGCAAAAATTGATCTTGTTTTCACCACTCAGCTGTAGCTTACCCGCATAACCTGGCTGTGCAGGTCACCCCAGCGGATTCCTCTTCTAAGTCACTTAATCTTCCTTTTTCGTTTTAGCAATGGCTTAGTCCACAGCAGTGCCAGCAGTGGGATTTAATATCTGGATTGCTCTAGCTAGCTATTTTCACAGGGTGCTACTGGGTAAAGCAAGTTCAGAAACGCCGAAGGAAGCATTCAATATCGGGATTTCCAAGTTTTATTTCACACAACTTTCCCAGACATTTCAGGACCGAAACCATTACCCTGGTCTGCAGCTGATGTTACGGAAAAGGAGACACAAAGAAACAGTCTGTAACTTGCGCAGGAGGAAGACATCCTTAAGGAAGGAGACCACACTGAAAATAAATAAGTGCTAAACTTCCTCTTTCTGCAGAAGCGAATTGGTAACACGCTCTCAGGACCTTCGGACACCCTGGATATCACTCAAGAACCACAGCCCAAAGAGGACAGCTTGGCTGCAGGAGGCAACCGAGAAGCAGCACAGACATAGCAGGAAGACAGCACTTACCAAGATCCTGTGATCAAACTGTACAGTTGTAGGATTCTCAAAGATATTTCTCAGCATGGGGGAGAAGGCAAGGAGATCATCCGGGATCCAGCGCTCCCCCATTTTGGGGAAGGAATTGTACACAAGGCCGGCATCCAGCCCTGCCACAAAGGCACCTGCAATTCCAGAGCAGAAAATGAGACAACCAGAGTAGGCACAGGTGGCACTCCAGGTTGCACAGTCCTGATTCAAGAGCTCAGCTTGACCCTGAATTTCTTTCAGAAACATATACAGAGATCACACAGCAACAGGCAGGCTGGAAGGCGCATCTCCACCTGCTCAGGAACGACCAGTAAGGGAGGTTCTTGACTTTCAGCTCCCTGACAGCAATAAAGTTTTCCCAGAAAACACAATGGGGTTGCTCACAGTCCGTGCCAGACCAGAAGAAAAACAAGGCAGAGAGGAATGAGCCGCAGGTGGGACAGCAGTAAGAAACACTCTTACCTGAAAGAGCAGTAAGGAAAATGAGAGCTGTAGTGCCATGAGCAAATTGCCTCAGGCGAAGAAGCTGATGGGTCTCGGGTAACTGTAAAATACAAATAAAAAAGAAAATGATCAAGGCAAAGCATTTCCAGTGCTGTTTGCAGCAGGTAAGAAAAGCCTTCACTGCATATACGAGCCAAGGGGTTGGCCTGTGTTTTACAGGAGGAACGTAGAGACCACCACGCAGCACAGTCACACTGCAGTGGTTCCTCAAAACCACAACTAATCAAGTCCAACCCTGTGCAGAAACTGAAACAGCCACTGGACAGTTACTGGCACACATCATTTAGTCCAGCCAGGCACACCCCTGCCTGAGCTTGCACAAACTCTGAGGGTAATCACTTTTGAGCAGAACAGCACGAGTCAAAGGAAGTGTCCCATAACCAAGAAGTTTACAGAAAGAGTATTTTGTAACACAGTATTAGGTCAGAGTCATGAACAGAGACTACAATGGAAGCACCATCACCCTTCACAGCCTTTCCTCACCCTTCACGTCACACCCCCAACTCTCCGAATTGACATGTTCCCATGCTTTTGACTTCTGACACACCACTCCATACCTTGTGTCGTGGGAGCAGCAAAGACAACCCCGTCCACAGGCTAGCAGAGTACAGAACCAGTGCAGAGCCAAGATGTGCTGCGAGACGGTACTGACTGACCCGAGGAATGTCGTACGAGTCTGGCTTCTCTTCCAGTCCGCTCTTCACCATGTACCATCCCAGAAGTCCCTGGCAAAAAAAGAGGGGGGTCAGAGCCAGCTAAAGAGAGGGCAGTGAATAACCCTTCATGTCTGTCTCGGCACAGACAGGGCAGCAGCGACTGCAAAGAGCAGATAAACATTAGGGTCAAAGCAACTGGTTTCCTCCCTCTCCAACCAGCAACCAGCACTGACCCCCCCCCGCCCAAGCTTTCACAAATACCACCGTCTCAACTACACTCGATCAGAGGACATTCACAAGACACGCTGCCACTAATCCCTGTGGCTACAGAGCTCGCTCACCTGGAAGCAGACCAGCCCGCAGAGCGCAAGAACGCAGCCCTTCATGGGGCGGCTGAGCCAGCCCTTTCGCCAGAAGTAGGCGGCAGGCAGTATGTAGGCCAAACCCACAACGCGGCCCCACATACGGTGCGAATACTCCATGTACCAAATGAACTTGAACTCTGTCAGCGTCATCTCATGATTCAGGCTGTTAAAAGACAGTAAAACAAAGAACTGCTCAGTGTGATGTGGCAGTCCATGACAAGGGATCACCTTCCTCAGAGAAAAGAGCTGACAGGGAAGGAGCCGCCATCAGACACGCTTTGTGTGCCCTCCCAGTGATGTTAGAATACGTTTCCCTTCTTGCGAGGGTTCCTGGTGTTGCTCAGTCGCAGGAGGGACGCTCCCAGCCCACCCTCCTTCCACTTTTGCACACTCACATTTTAAACTCCGGGAACTGCTGGTACTTCTGGAACTCAGCTTCCCACTCCTGCTGTGTTCTCGGGGGTTTCATCTCTTTCACCAGGTGCCAGTCAACCATAGAAAGCCCTGATTCTGTCAGCCTGGGAGCGGACAGAGACACCAGTGGGCACAACTTGCTCGCTGACAGCACGCAGCTCTACTGGGTCAGAATGAGAGCTCTTGGCTGCGCTAGACCACCCTTAAACTCACAGTTAGAAATAAGATAGAGATCAGGGAGTCTGTGAGTGACCAACAGACCTAAAATTACCAAAAATGCGTGAGAGAAAGTTATTCCCAGTTGGCACCTACGCACTGGGGACAGTGTCTCTCCGGTACTCCCAGCCCTACCCCACCGTGGCCCCTTGCAACCGCGGATGGACGGCACCAGAGCGGCTCTCACAGGCGCACTCGGGGCGGGGCCCCACCCCCGGGGGGCGCGGGCGGGCGCCGGGGGACGC